CTCTCTCTCTCTCTCTCTCTCTCTCTCTCTCTCTCTCTCTCTCTCTCTCTCTCTCTCTCTCTCTCTCTCTCTCTCTCTCTCTCTCTCTGGTAAACACACGCAATGAGAGCGGAACAATTTGATTTGCAACTATGAGGCATTGAGAAGAGCTCCATTCGACCGAGAATTTGTGCTCTTTCGGCTCCTGGTGTTATTTGTGCTATTATTCACATACCCTCTCCCATCGCTGTCACCTCTATCACTCCATGGCTAGGGAACCTCCCTTTCACTTCGTTGTGTGGCCCCTGGAGTGTAGAGACCCCCATCTCTATCTGAATGCTGATGGCTCCATTGACCCCGAATTGTTCAAATGTGTGGCTACCCCTCATGAAGGGTTTTGGGTTCGGCACCTGACCACCCTATACCCTAGCATGTGGTTTGCACGCCTTGTGCCGTGAGAATTATGAAGGAATAGTCCACGTGAGTGCGAGTTTCTGTTTTTGCACGTATGATGACAGTCAATACTGCAGTCGTGTCCGACGCTCTGACATGTCATGTCCAATTTCTAGAGAGGGGCTGGAATGACAATGCGTCTACAATTGCGGTCGGTGTGCCTCTGTGTTCCTAGCATTCTAGCGTGTAGGAGCCACGTAGCCTGTGACATCTGTGTACGCGGTGCCATTCGATGCAGCAAATGCAACTGCAAGAGTTGGATGTGCTGCTTCCACAGTCCACGCCCGAACCGGTCCTGTCCCGTTTATAAGGGGTGCCCGCTTACACACAGGCAACAGTGGCTTCTCAACTGCAAATTCTCTGCAACCCAAACACTGACTGGCCCCATGTGCCATTCTAGAGTGGACGGCTCCAGCGGTGAGTATTTTACTATTTTTAGAACCCTGTGACCTTCGCCATATTTCTGTTCTGTCCTTTTTTGTCGCTCCACTTTCTCCCCTACCCTTTCACCCCTACCCTTTCTCCCTCCCCCGCCCCTCACTACCTATACAACTCAGCCTCCCACCCCCTTCCCTTCCTAGCTCCCCTTGTGTGAAAAAAAGACTTGCTAGAAAATGCATACGAATAACCATCATTAAGAGAACGGACAAAATATAAGCTGAAGATCTGAAGAAAAATGGACAGGAGTATACCTCCCCCTCTGCCTTCCCTTCGTAACGTGCAAGCGTGCCGTTAAAGCACACCAGTACATGCCAGCTATCGGTCGCGGGCCCCTTTCGGAGGCCGCCCGCCGCCGATTCATTTTATATGTGCGGCGCTCGGCCTCCTAAATTTCCGGAGAGTCTCAAAACAGCAGCAGTTTCTCCAGCTGCCTGGGGCCATGTACTGGTGGTTTAAGGCACACGGGGATGTGGGCAGCTGGCGCTCAACGACAATCAACGTGACCAGCCTTGTATGCAACAGGCATAGTAAAAGGGGAGCTGCAAGAACAAATGAAAGGGGTACCCCAAAGAAAGCCAAACGAAACATAGATGACAATGGAATTTCAATTCTCAACGGCTCTATTGTGCTCCATGTTACTAGCTATAGAGGTAAAAAAGTAAAAAAAAACCTAAGAGGTCCCGTAATACCATTTCCTTGTTGGAATGTCCCAACTCAAGTGTGCTTCATTGTCTGCAATAATACTAAAGCTGCTTCGATTTCGGTTCTACTCATTTGGGTGGATTATGGGCTGTTGGGGTGAAAATCCAAAAAAAACACACAGTGCCTTTGATTGGGAAGTGCCGATCACCTCACCTTTTTTTTTTTTTTCTTTTTTTTTTTTTTYTTTTTTTTGCGGATCACCTCACCTTAGCTTTGGTGAGCTCCAACTGCTGGGCCAATATCAAGCTATCGCTTCTCAAAAGTTCTGTCTCAGCCCTCAGCTTGATGAATGGACATGAAAAAAACGAACAGAGGAAGCAACTGCTGGTCAGTGTGAAGGTACTAGGTAAGCCAAGGCAAATATGAAAGGGAAAGGCAAATGAAAAAAGAACGAACACAGGGGAAACATGAGGTGGGGAAGAGAAAGAAGAGGGAGCTTCAAAAGCAGGGAAAGCAAATGCAGAAGAAGGATACTGACTTCACTCGTTTATAAAATTGCAGAGCTCACATTTGAGCAGGAGGGCAAATTAATCAACGTCAAGCGTGCCAACTACTAGTGCCAACCAGCTGGGTCGTTCTTCATGCGGATTGTTTCCACACAATTATCAGTAATGTTTCAGCAACTTTTACATCAAAGAGAGAAAAAGAAAAAGGTCACCCCAGTGACATTTAGTGTAACTCAAGAAAAGAAGAGAGAGAGAGAGAGAGAGAGAGAGAGAGAGAGAGAGAGAGAGAGACTTACATCAAACAGGGAAAAAGAAAAGGTTACCCCAGCGACATTTAGTGTAACTCGAGAAAAGGAGAGAGAGAGAGAGAGAGAGAGAGAGAGAGAGAGAGAGAGAGAGAGAGAGAGAGAGAGAGAGAGAGAGAGAGAGAGAGAGAGAGAG